GATTTCCTTTGCAGCTTCTTCAATTACTTTCAAATTCTCTTTGATAGTTTTTGAGCTGTAGACTAGACCAATATCATCCACATAACTTGAAGATCACACTATTCTCATATTTCTATTTTTGAATAGATATGCAGTGTATATTGTAAATAAAATGAGTGAGATTGAAGATTTCTGTAGTACTGCTATTTTTATCTCAGTCTTGTCTTATTTCATTTCATTAAAGAAGAGTTGTATAATTGTTTTAGATATAAAACAGTTAACTCATTTTATTAGAGAAAGTGGCAGTTTTAATATCTTCAATGTCTGAATTAACTTTGACTTTGAAACATGATCAAATGCTTCTTTTATATCAATAAAAACTGCAGTTGAGACCAGACTCTCATACTTTGCTATTTGAATATCATGAACAACTGAGAGAACAGTGTCAATTGCAGAACACTGTTTTCTATCTCTCATTTGTTCACTGAATAAAAGAGAATCATCTATAGAGCTTATAAAACATAGTTAAGTAGCTATTATCTTTTCTAAAACCTTTTCTAGGCAGTTCAATAGAGATATTACTCTATATGACTTAGGAATTGAAGTTTCTCTATTAGGTTTTACAAGAATCACTTCAGTGGCTTCTCTCCAGCATTCAGAATAATATTCATTTTTCAAGAGATTGAAAAAGAGCTCAAAATATTCATTCTTTAAGTAGGAATATGTATTTTAAATAATCAAGTGATTAATTGAATCAGGACCTGCAGCAGTTTTAATAGAACTTGAGAGAATAGCTAACTCTAATTCATCTTATGTAAGATCAGGGCATTCCCAGTCATTTTCATCAATGTAGTTGAGAAGTGATATATTCTCTTCCTCTGAGTCTGAATCTGAATCTGGTGAGTTCTGAAAGAGAATTCTCATGAAAGCTTGATATTTTTCCTCAAAAGAGTTTGCTGTATATGATTCATTCTGAAACTCATATTCTAAGACTGGAAGTTTTGCTACACTTCTTGTTTTAGTATAGTTAAAAGCTTTAAAAACTTCCTTCTCTTGTGCTTCTTCAAGAAATTTATTTCAGCAGTCTGTTTTAGCTCTTTTAATATCTGAAAAATATTCATTTCTGACAGCTTTGAACTCTTCATCAGATATTACATCATTCTTTCAATCTCTTCTAGCAGTAGCTAATTCTTTCCTTTTAGATGAGATATTCTTATTTTATCAAGGTTTTGAATACTCAGAAGATTTTCTCTTTGAAATATTATCTCTAACACTTGTTAGAATAATAGATGTAATAAGCTTCACTCTATTCTTAAGTATTTCATTTGAGATATCTTGATCAGAATTTCAATATAGCTCATTCTGTCTTTCAGATTTTAATAGTTTTATGCTTTGTTCAACTGCTTTTCAATCAGCCTTTTCAAAGTTATACTGATCAGAGAGAAGAGGATTTTCACTCATTTATTTTTCACTCAGTTCAATATCAAATTGAATAATCTCATGATCTGATTCTGATGTCTCATTTGAATCAATAAATCAGTTTACAAGTCTTCTTTTCATTAGATTTTATGATATAAAGATTAGATCTATAATAGACTTCTGTTTCATATCTTTTCTAAAGAATGTTTATTGATCAGACTTATTAATCAAATCTATTGAATGCTCAAAGGTTTATTTAATCAGATTATCAGCTCTCACTGCTCTCTTGCATTCTGAATTTCATCAGAGATGATGTGTATTGAAATCTTCTGCAATTATAGAGTTTCTTGATAAAGTTATGTTCAGAAATCCTCTATCAATTGTTCAGATATTGTTATTTTTCTTCAATGATTTTTCATTATAGATATTTATGAGCTGTATAGTATCAAACTCATTTTCTTTATCTATAATATCACCCACCAGAATATCAGGGTCAGACATGATATCAAATCTTAGATTAAATTGATATCTTGATCTCTTTCTTTCATAGATCACTACTCTTGACTTTATCTCAGACTTTTAAGATAGAAAGCAGTAGTAGCTTGAATGAGAAATAATGTAATTTTACTCAGCATCAAAATTCAGTTCCTGAAGTAGTATAAAATCAACTTTTTATTCAAATGCAATTTGAAGACAAGAATAAATACAATTTGAGTTTCTATTCACATTATTTTGAATAAATGTGATTTTTGAAGAGTTTTTAAACTTTTTTTGTTGTTTTTGTTGTATATTCATACTAAAAGAGAGTAGAGATAGAGTAGAATCTAGTCACTATCATCATATAGTAGATTATAACTATTTTGAAAAGTAGGGATCTCAACTGCTTGCATTATATCTAGTTTATCACCAGAGTCATTTCTCAATTCTCTAATCTTAACAGGAGTTTGAGGATTCAAATTCTGTTTACATTTAGCAGGAGAATTAGAGTTTGAATATTTAGATAGTTGAGAGTTTCTTCTTTTTAAGCTTGCAGTTGTAAGTCTACTGGCTTGACTCTTCTCTTCAGTTCTAGATTGACTTTGAGCTTCATCTTTTCTTCAGTTCTTTTGAGTTCTAGAATCAAACATACATTCTTTTGAGCTAGATGCATGTTTTTCTTTACAATTAGAGCACTTAAGCAGAGTGTGTTGACATATTTCATCTCTTTTTAAGCATGTTTCACATTTATGCTCAGTAGTTTTATAATCTCTAGTATAGAATGCACATTTTGAATCTCTAAAACATGAGATTGTGAAGTATTCATATCTTTGACAGTTTAAACACTGTGTTTGAGCTTTGAGATTCATTCTTGAGTCTTTGTATTCATAAACTCTTATTTTCAAATCTGCTACTCTTACTTCAGAGATCTTTGACTGTTCAAGTGTTTTTATATATACTAGAACAGAGGCATTTCTTCTGCTTTGTCTGAACTCAATTGAATTTAGTTATACAGACTCCTTTCTCAGTTGAATAGAGTTGTATTCTTTCAATTCATTTTTGAGAAGTAGTATTCCTTCTTCACAGTCAAAAATTTCAACTGGAATATTATGAAGAATGAATTTGTCTCACTTTTCATCTCTCTTAGATAGAATTGTTGTGTTTAGTAAAGATTCTACTGCTGACTTTCAGAGATTCTCATTCTGAATAAGAAATTCAGCACTGAATTCAGGCATTGTAGTCAGAATGATGAAGTTTTCAAAGAATGATGACTCAATTGAAGCTATAACTGGTTTTTGAACTTCAATATCAGTCATCAACTGAGAAAAGAACTGCTGATTAATTTCATTTCTGATTCTGAAAATGAGATTTAAGTTTAGCTTGTTTCTTTGCAGAATATCCTGGTTTGAGACTTTGAGAATAAGTCTTCTATTTCTGAAGATTTGAAAGTTTTTCTTTTTTTGCATTTTCTTTTTCACTTTTCTATGAATAGAGATATGAGCAGTATTCTTCTCAGTTTTCTCAGGATTTTGAGCAGGTTTTGAGACAGCAGGTTTAGAGACAGCAGATTCAGCTGCTTAAGCATATATTTTCTTCTGATTCAAAGAAGAAGAAGAAGTAGGAAAAAAAGAAGAAGAGCAAGATAAAGAGTCAGTGATTGTATAAGAAATTTTCAATGTTTTTTAAACTGTGTTTGAGATTTCAAGTTTGAACTTGATCATCTTCTGTAGTTGTCTAGCCTGAGTATGAAGAATTAACAGAACTTCTTCATTCATCTCACTCAGACACTGCTTTTCAAGAATCTTACTTGCTTTTTCAAGTTCCTGTATTTCAAGAACTTGTTGTTTCTCTATTTCTTCTTTCTTTCTTCTCTTCAGAATTTCAATCTCAGAAATAGCATTTGAGAAAGCATCTTTTTTCACATCAACTGAGTGTATTTTTGCACTCATTATTCTCACTCAATGAAAAGTTGATCAGACTGTTTCAATTGAGATATTTCTAAGTCTGTTTTCAATTGAACTGTTGGTCAGACTGTTTCAAAAGAAGAATAAAAGACTTTTTTGTATAAAACATCTGATTTTTTTCACACTAGTTCAGTAACTAGGTTAGATTTTTAAAGAGAATCTAATAAACTAAAATTGATTTTTAAGATAAATTAATAAAATCTTTACAATCTCTTTCTTGAGATACAGTGAGGAAGAGTATAATATCAATTGATAATGAATCAGATGATATGACAATTTTTGAGAGAAAAACTGATAAAAAATAAATCAATTTTTTGCAGAGAAATTGATTAAAACTATTCAATTTTATTCTAAATCATTCAATTCTTCTCACACAACAAGTGTGCAACTCAAATCAGTTAATAAAGAGTATAAAAAATAATTAAGTATTAATGAAAGCTCTTCAGTCACTGAAAAAGTAATTCTTATTTAAAAGAATATGAAATTATGACAGAAAACAGCTCTGTTTTTTATTCTTTGTAAGAATATTGTATAAAACTCAGAGAAAAACATCTTACTTTTTCAAGAGAAGTAAAAAACTATTTCTAAGATCTTTTTTTTGCATTAACTGCTGCAGAAGAATGAGATAGAAACTGCTAAGATATACACTACTGTATATTCTCTATCAAGACTTTTCCTCTTCAGAGTCTTGATATTATAGAGAATATAAGTCTGTTTCTGTATAATAATATAAATATTATCAGTGGGATGTAGAGAAACTGGTTATTTATATCTCAAAATAGAAGACTTTGTCAATGATTATATTAATATAGAGTTAATTCTCAAATTCAATAGAAATCTAGTATTGCTGTTCTCAATCTCTTGCAGAATCTATTGAATAATGAGATATTAAAGCTAGATTTAATATATCTCACTGTGCAGGGATCAAAGACTCAGTCAGACCTTGAAGTATACTGATTTTATAGTTGTTGATGTGCTGTTGACTCATTGTCTGCTGATTATGTATTGAATACTGTTGCTGAGGTATCTTTTTGTATTCTTCTGCCGGGGATGGGCCAGATTGAGAGGGATAGTACAAGGGTGAGACTTGGTGTTGAAGTCTAGATACACTGACGACAGACCGTGGAGGTTGCACTTCAGAAGAGTCTGTTGGTTATGTGCTTGATATTATCACTGAGGTATCTTTTTGTATTTTTCTGCCGGGGATGGGCCAGATTGGGAAGGGCGGTACGAGGGTGAGACTTGGCGTTGGTGTTTTGGAACATCAAAGATGGACAGGGTTTTCGCGGAGGTCGCTCCTCGGATATCTCCACAACTACAGGTCGGGGATCTTCCAAAATCGAGAAGATTGGTGCATATGGCTAGGTCTCTTCACCTTACAATTTGTATGGCACTTTGGCCCGGGGTTGTGGTGTGGTAGGGGAGAACGGGGGATAATCCCACACAGGAGTTTTGAACAACGTCCGGTTCACGTTTGGCTGGATAACTCCACCACCACACAGGGTATGCGGTCGGCGATGGGGTCAGAATGCTCGTATGATCGAGGGCTTTTCGATGGATCTATCGGCGGGTTCTTATTCGAAAAATCGAGCGAGTTCGTGGTGGAGCGGTTGCTGTCTGTGACTACTGCTTCATTTGATACGCTCATCGATTGATGTATATCTCTTATTAACATTGATCAGTGACTTCTTCAGAAGTGATCTCAGAGACTCAGAAGCCTGTTCAGACAGTGAAAACCCTTGTTTATATATAGACATTTGAGTTCACTCAATGCATGGCATCTGTATTGTCATTCTTCAGTGCAGATGTATAAGTGACTGAGATGTAACATCTTCTATCACTGTTCTGTATACTTTTGAGCTTGATAAGATAGTCATTCAATGTTCAGAGTTGTAGATAGAAGTCTTTATAAGTTGAGTCTTCATCTACACTTATAAGAGTCTATAAGAGTTCAAAAGTTAATGTCTTCTTAAGCATACTAATCTTTATTCAATTCTTTCAAGATTAATCACCTGCTTCTAGAATCTTAGTGTTCAAGTCAGGAATAAATGTTATAAGAGAAGTGTTTCTCTGTCAAACACTCTGTAATTAATCTAATACTTTCTGTTGCATAGCAGTGTCTCAGAACAGAATATCAAGATATTTGATAATATTATCAGACATCTGTAATGCTGGTTTACAAGCTTTCATTCATGAATGAAACTTCTGTCTCACATGATTCTTCAATTACCTGCTGATATATCAATCTTTATTAATTAATGAACTGATGGCATCTTCATCTACACTTAGTTTCATGAGCATTTTCAATCTTCATGATAGATAGAGAGTGAGATTAGAAGTATTAAAATATATAAGAGTATCTAAGCATTTCTTCAGTGTTTATATTGTATTCATATTTGATTCTGTCAGTGTTGAAATTGTCTGTGCAGAGGTTTCTTGTTAAGACAATTATTAAATCTCTTCATATTGATGTTATTAAGTCACATGCATATCAGCTATTTATTATTATTGTAATTTTAATATTGCTCAGAGTCACTGTGATACTGCATCTATGCTTGCATTTAAGAGTTCTCTTATATTATCAGTAGACATAGTTATATTGTTTATTGAATGTGTGATATATGTGTTTGCGAGTTCTTCAGAATCAGAAGTGTAATTGTATGAATATCTCATATATCTAGGACGTTAGAACTCTCAGATCTTTTACTAATATTCTCTTATAAGATCTTGTTACAGAGTCAGAGTGACTGATAAGCAAGCTTCTATATAGAAACTCAGTGTCCGCTTAACTGATTGTTTATTTCTCTTATTTCTTATATGTTATTACATGTTCAGATATCTTGATGAATAACTGTTTCTAGTGAGAAGATAATGAATGTTAATAATCATTTCTAATAAAAAGATAATGAATGTTTTTCAAGTGTAAGAGACCTACACTGAATAGATCAGTATAATATTTATAGGTCTTATATAACAAAGTGAAAAACATTAGAGAAGAAAACAAAGAGAAAGTATGAGAATCAGTAATTGAAGTGAATATTTATATGCGTATGCAGTAAAGCTTCAGAGCAGAAGAATAGAAACTCTGTGTATATGATAAAGCTTCAGGATAGAATGGAAATTTCATGAGTTTTTCAGTTAAGAATCAGCGATTGAAGATCGGAGCTTTTTAGCGGACTGAGAATTGAATCTTTCGGCGGAATCTATGAAGTGTAATGGAATAGTCTATATGATTGATCAGGCGCAGTCCGCTACAGATATCTCAGATCTATAGAATTCTTGAGAGACTATTTAATACAGCTGTTCATAACTCAGATAATTAGTTATATGTGAGTCATACATCTCTTGCATTATCTGAGTGTGTAGAGGTTCAAACTGAGAAACTTAATATTATTTATGAAATTGCAGAATATTATTGTCATTGATTAAACATTCTGAGACATCCGTCTGTATATATTATTATTATTATTATTATTCTTTAATTATAAATGTATACAGTCAGAGACTATAACATCTATCAGAGAACTTTTAATTCTCAGAGGTTTTCCAATATCTATAGAGTTAACTATTATACATTTATCAATTTCAGATATATAAAATCAGAAAATTCCAGCTCAGAATATAAAAACTCTTTATAAATTGCAGTATTTTAACATCTTCTGATACTTTGAAACTATTGGAAAATATCATGACAAAAGAAAAGAGAACAAAGTATTAAAGATAGACACATTAAATAAGTAGACAGAAAAGAACAGAAAAGAAAAAGTAAAGTAAAGAGAGACTATAATAAAACAATATTATTAAAAAATAGTGTATAGCTGTTTTAACAGACTATATCTGATTAATTTTCTTCTCTTCATATTCAGATATTTCTGAATTCAGTTATTTTCTTACAGCTGCTTGAGTTTCTGATAGAAAGTCTATTA